TTACAGATGAGTTGGTGACCCAATCTCCTAATGACCTTAAAGGACTATATTTATAAATTATAAAGTTATAAGTTATAAGATTGGTTTTTTAATATCACACACATAAAATTCTGAATAATCAATCTTTTTCAACAACATTATACGATTGATACATAATATACGTCATACATAGTATAGTGTACACAATTGTTTAATAAGCTTATAAATCTATATAGAATAAACCTAACCTATTCTACTACCTACCAATGTATAAAAATAGAATGTATATTTTCTTATATTTAATACCTATAAATATTATAAACTATTAAACCTAATAATATTAGGTACCAAAATATATATATTTTTTTAATAGTGCACAGTACACATTGTTTCGTAATGACAAAAAATATTTTATTTTTAGAATTTAACATTAATATTTCTGAAGAAGAGTTTACGCTTTCAAGCCCACATTAATATACACGATTAGTATGTCACTGAATTCATTGTAGTATACATAATAAATAATATATTTAAACAATGCGTGATATATTCTGGGTAGTTTACACTTAAACATACAATTTAGTATACACCTAATATAATGATTCGTTAACGAAATTTCGGAAAAACTTAGAGAATAAAGAAATACCCGGACTTAAATCTCTAGGAAGCCCAATGTATAGTTTTAATATCTACAGTATTTTCGTAATAAAATAAAGTCTAAGGATTTTTATGAAAAAAATGTCTTGATTCTAATTACACCATTACATACATATGTTAAGTAGGTACTTAAAATTAACTTACACAGTATTTAGGTATATATATAGAAAGTACTTATGCTTTAACCACCCTAAATATAAGAAGCCATAAGTGAATTTATTACACAAAAACATTAATTTAACATGTTGTTGTTATTTCGTTAAGGCGTGAACGAAATTTAAAAATGCAGAGACCCAAAACAGTACGTTTTATGATTCAAGCGTCCAATTACTTATCAATATACTACTATTTTAGTAGTTTTCAAATTTCAAAAAGGGACAAGCTATATGAAACTTTTACTGTACTTTTATATTGGGTGTATAAAAAAGTGAATTACCTACAAATAAACCCGATGGCCAATATGTAAAACCTTGAGTAAAACTAATGGTAGGTACTCCGTCTGGACGTATATTAAAATCTACAATAATACGATTTAAAATAAATCGAGGATTTTATCGGAATAAAATATGTATACCTAAATATTTGTCTTGGCATCATGTAGGTTATATGTTACAACTATATAGGCGATATTTATTGGTTTATAAAAAATATTTATGTACTAAAGTACAAATTTATTACAGTGGATTAAAAATTAAATTACGCATGACTAGTATCATGGGCTGCCGCTTATCCACAACAATAGTAAACAAATAGAAAATTCTCCAAACAAATACCTGAGAATACCACTTAAACCTTCTTGGTTAACCTATCAACATACAGATGATAAACCAATACAAAAAATTCAACAATAACCTGTATAAAACTGAAGGTGCTCTCTATTAAAAAATCGGAAAAAAACATCTAAAGCTATAGGCGAAACCCACAAGACAACTTACTTACAAAAATAATATTTCTTCATGTTTATTTGTATTTATTGTAAATAAAAAACTTCGTCAAAACATTCAATACCTATACGTTAAAATAATTAATCAATAAAAATTTTTTTTTAATAATATGCTATAATTGGTTACAATTACTACGCGGTTGTGAGTTATTAGTTTCATGATTATTTGATATTTTTTTATGATTGTTAAGAACACTAATTAACTATGAATTTAGGTAAAAAACGTTGTAAGTTAAAAAATATTAAAAATAAGCATATTCTACGGATATTTTCTACACATCAAGGAACAAGAACATAAAAGTAAAATATACATTGAAAATGTTAGGAGCCTCAAACTATCAAATGCAAAGATCGTGTTCACTTAGGATGTACCTCAGCACCCCTATTTTTCCTGCTTCTTATTGGTCTGCCATAAATTTTACAAATGCGCCGATACATAAGAGTTAATATATATTACGAAAACCATAACGTAATATTTATGTCAATATAATGTATATTTATTATGTATAGATGTATATTATTGATATGCATGACAAAAGCTATTTCCAACTTAAGTTGGAATTCCCACTTTCCAATTTTTTATTTCATTAAAATATGAAATACATAACCTTTCAATGCCATACATGTACGATGCATTAAACATATATAAAATACATATATTTACTATGATTAAAACAATTGGCGAGCTTAAATTTTGGCAGACCTACTAAAACAACTCAAATGGCACTACTGCTAGAAATTATTGTAATAGAAAAAATAATACCTTCACAACAATCGCTGACTTGTAAATTAATTGATTAAGGTGATTCAATTACTTGCTCCAATTAAGCATACATAATGCATATATGTATATACATATTTATAAATTATAAAATACTTATACTTTTAAAATGTAAATCAAGTTTAACTTTTTGAAAACAATTTAAATTGTTTAGGTAAAAATCGTACATTTGCTGTACTATTGAATAAATAATATAACATTTTAATTTGTTTAATTCGTTAAGAGTAGACTCATCAAATTTTACTTTATTTTTACATAAACAAGTCTGACGACTATCTTATACGGTTTTCAATAATATCGGATACTTGATAAAATAGTATTGAACGTGAATTTGACCTGAATGTTTTTTATTTAGTAATACTAAATAATTACATAATTTATATACCCAGTTAACCTTGTGCGAAATTTCTTGAGCACACCACGAGTGACCACAAAAAATGACAATAACACAAAAATGCATTCTAAATAAAAAAAATTTCTTCAATTTTAATTGAAAAACTTTTAAATGCAACAAATATACTTAATACGTCAAAATGAAGAAAGTTAATTACAAAGTCAAAATTAAAGTTTTGTCCAGACTTTTAAATACTTCTAGTAAATGGTAGTAGTAGCAGTATAGGTAAATGTTTAACTCAACTTAACTAAAATTCGTTTGAAATATGTACCTATATATAGTTTGATTACTATGTAAACGCTACTATTATACGAGAATATCAATTAAAGAATGTTTTATTCATTACAAACATTTGAAAACCTATTTGATAATCAACTTAAAAAGTTCCATATTTTGTATTTGTATCTTTCCTATATTATGTACTGGCTAATCCCGTGCACTTCGTTGCCCGTTAAAAATTTCAGCTCTATATGATTCAAAATGTGTATTCAATTCGTCACTTAATACCCGACGTATAGGTGTTTTGATGTTCAAAACTTCCCATGGATCTCCATTAAAGATTTTTATCATAGTCATATAAAATACAGGTATAAAATTATACTCAATCATAATAACTATTTTTTTCTATCATTTTTAGTTTTGTATAAATGAAACATTTCTTAAAATTTGTACCTTAAAAGTTATAACCAATTGCTAATTTTTTATTTATCTCTACTAAATTGTGTTACCAATAGCAACCCTATAATAAATAAAATTATATTATTATTTCTATAAAAAATTCCCAAATTTGCAAGAAAAAATAATAAGACCCAATTATCGAGATAAAATACAGCCTATAGAATCTTGTGATAGTGTAGCTTTCTGATGGTAAATATAAAATTTTTAATCGGTTAAGTAGTTCCAGGGATTACCCAGAACAAACAATTTTTCTTCTTTATATATTAGTATAGATAACTACAAATAACTACTAAATATATTGATTTTATCCAAATTATAAACATTCATTCGTTTTGTAATAATAAAAACACATTTTGTATTTATATCAATAATAATATGGATTATTTTGGGGAGAGATACAGGTTGCCGGGGTACAAAAAAGCTTTTATTTCATCATATTCATCAATCCTGATTATAAACCTGCCAAAAATTAAACACTTAAAATTTAAATCTATTATTAAAACTTCGTATGATTTCATTAACTACCGAGTATTCATAAATAAATATTTTAGCTTAAAATAAATTACGCACTGAGTATAATCTTATGCTAATTTTGACTTTTACCTAATAGTTTTTTGTAATTGAATTAATCAATTTTAAATGATATTTATTTGTATTGAAACTGATGTAATTTTTTTTGTTACTTTTATATACTATAAAGAAGAAATATAATACTTGTGAATATTGAAATATAGTATAATATATAATACTTAAGCTAACTTAAAATACAAGTCTACAATATTAGGCAAAGTATTATGCTACATAGAGGTACACTTTTGTACCGTTTGTACCTAATTAAATCGCATACGTAATATTTAACCACAGATTTAACTATTTATCTATACCTACTAATTATCACATCCTTGATTTGTAATAATAATTAGGTACTTTCTTAATTACAAACGTACATATTAACTAATTTCAATTTTAATACCTCTAAGTTATATTATAAAAATTGATTTCAAATGTTTTTTAAAAAAATGTCAGTCTTTGATAAAAGGAAAACATTAGTTTTTTTTATCAACTAAGCATTGTTCGATTGAATAATAAACCATTGGTGCAGGTTTCACATACACAGGCTACAGCGTATTTGGAGATTTGGTCTCTAGGGAATAGTATGTGTTTTCGATCTACTGGATCAGTTAAAAATAATTATTTCCTCCAAAATTTAATTATTAATCTCTTATAAACATACGTGTATCAAATATAAACTACCTGGCAATGCCAGGACTATCAGGATTCAAAAAAATGCTTATATTATTCTTACTGGGTATCATACATCGATTAGTCAGAATTCGCATATCTCCTTCACCCTTGAACGTATGATTTTGGTGACAATAAAAAACGTATACTATTCTGCAGGATGTACACCAGGGTTACCTACGGAGAGTCCTGCTCCTGCAACCGATATGACTTCAGAGAGTGCATATTTAAATCAGTGGCCGCAATAATCACCCATACATAGAGCGTACATATATCATGAGAAAAATAACGCGAAATCATTACGAAATATTGTAATATTTCCTTACCTCGTCTGGCTTGGGGTACAAATGATTGCAGTGTCTCTGTACGAACATACCGGTGGCCAGTTGGACGGCCAGCACCAATACCGCAGCGCAAACGGTTTTCCATTTTACCTTGACCGGCATGTCGGCCACGGGTACGAAAAAAAAATAAACCTAAACGGCACTCGTGGTGATCATTTGACGTGTGTGATTATCGTCAAACGGATTCGATAATAATATCTTCGGGAAAACAACACGTCGTCGGAGGAAGAGGACTCTCGATTTCGTGAACAACAGACCGCACGCGAATGAGAACTGATAAGAGACTGAACACGACACGGCAAGCGATACTATGACACCAGCCGCTGGTACGGACGGTAGAAATTCATACCTGCCGAACACGCACGGTGGCAAGTGGTAGGGCATGAAGTGCGTGACGGAATCGTTTCCCCACTACGTCATGAAATTATATTTTGTACTGGACAACAACTACGTACCATGACTCATCGCGTCGACTTATCGTCACTGCGCGCATTGTGATCCAAAGCAGTCGTGCGGCGTGCGCAGTCGCAGAGTTGTTGTTGTGGTTTTTATTGTTCTTGTTCTTGTTGTTGTTATGGTTGTGATAACAGCAATCATGGATTAGTATTGTTTATAAATATTATATAGTAATATAGTATTTACGGCAGTCGGCAGTAGTGTTGATAACGCAATCATCTGCTGTACAACTGCTACTGTGCCAAATGGCTGTACAGTTGGAACTTGTAGAACTTAGTACTAACTTATCATCTTCCAAATTTTGAGAAGTCACAATTTGCCTAGCCCTCTACAATCTGCACACAGAGTACGACACATCACTTCTGCGAGAAGCTATGGATTTCGATAGTCCGGACGTTGAGAAGGATTTCCCAGGGTTATATGCGTCCACTGAAATCGGACATAAAGACTCTGATGGTAATGAAAACTATTAAAACATCTTTGATTTGAGCTTGGGACCTTTAAAGAGCAATAATGTTAGAACTTGAATGTATATAGGTAAACGCAAAGAAAAAAAAGACCGTGGTTATGCAGCGCTTGAAGGTGAAAGTTCTCCGGAAGAAGAGCCTGATGCAAAGTAAGTACGGTTATAAATGTATGATATTTCTAGTTGAGAAATTGAAGCCTAGTGGCTATACTGCTTTATGAATTTACGATCAATTTTTTTACAATTTTAACAACTTTGATTTCAAACTTAAAAACTTAAAAATAAATTGAATATTCCTATTTCTTAGTGTAAGTTACTTTTAAGTCATTTTTATAAGTATTTATTTAAATTAATGTGACAACGCAATAGAAAATGTAAGTTTTCAAGTTCTTTACCACATAACAAACTATTATCCTGGACCATTCTACAAATTGCAATAGATGAAGTGTAACAATATTTTTAGTTGTTGTGAACTGTAGTTTAAATTATTATGTTATGAACCATTAATGTTTAGTATATTGAATTAAGTAATTTGTTAGTTAACTTCATATCCAAATAAATAAATATTCAAAAGTATTTTACTGTATTTTAGGAGCAATTTTTACCTTAAAAATGCCATCTTATTTTTTTCTGTTAATTGTTTGCTTGTTTGTAGATATCAATTTGGCCAACAAATTGTTTAATTTTTATAAAAAAACATGCATGGCTTAATACATATTATCTATTTCATTTCATTATAAAACAAATCTATTTTAATGCAGATATGCTATATAAATAAATTATTAATTTTTAATTTACATAATTACACATAAGCTCATTACTAGACAATAGTATATATGTAGTTGTAACTATCACCTATGTAAATTATTAATGATTATATTTTATAGAAGTCCTTCAAAAATTAAAAAGATAAAACCATTTAAATTTCCTATAAAAAAAGAGAAGCATGAAAAGCTCAAAGATAAAGATTCTAAAGATATACCTAAAGAAAAGAAAAAAGATGGAGAAAAAGAAAAAAAGAAAGATAAACCCAAAAGTAAAATAAAAGAAAAAAAGAAACAAAAAGGATCTGATGGAAAAGATATTGTTGACATAGGTTCTTTATATGGTAATTAAAATGATAATTTATTTTAAAACTAATAAATATTAAGTAACAACAATAAACTGTTTTAATATATAGAAGATCAACCTGTTTTTGGAGTTCCATTGGAAATATCATTTGAACGAAATCCATGCCATGACGATATACACTTACCATTAGTTCTGAGAAATTGTATTGACTATGTACAAATGCATGGTAATCATCTATAATTTTGTTTTTTACAGTCTCACAATATTTATCCTTGTATATTCCCACCTACTAACTACGCAAATTCTTGGTATAAGTATATACATAATTTTTACCTACATTTTAATTCTTACATAGGTGTATAAAAATCAATAATATAAAATTTATAATTTATAAACCTAAATCAACATTATACATTTTCTATCTAAAATGTTAAAAGAACACAAATATTTTTTTTATTTTAGGTTTATGTACTGATGGTGTGTATAAAGTACCTGGAGTGAAATCTAAAGTACAAAGCATTAAAACTCAGTATAATAGACGGCATTCTGTCAATTTAGCTGATTATGATTTAGCGGTTGTCACGAGTCTATTGAAACAATATTTAAGGTATTGTGTTTTTAATTTTTTTTATGAAATATAAAAATATGATTTTAAAAACAAATTCATAGAGAACTTCCTGATCCTATATTGACGCCAAACTTATTATCAAAATTTGAAGATGCTGCTGAAACACAAAATATTGAATTAGCAAAGTTGTTAATTTCAGAACTTCCACTATGCAATAAGCATACACTCACATGGTTAATTGTTCATTTTACCAGTATTATAGAAAATGTAAGTTAATGAGTTATAATGTCATGATATTTAATGATATGATTCTGATTGATTTATTTGTTTTAGGAAAAATATACTAAGATGAACACTACAAACTTTGGTTGTGTCCTCTGTCCTGTTCTTCAAATGTCCCAAAAGTTATTCTCATTTCTTGTTACGAAAAAAAATGACTTGTTTCCTAGTGCTGTTTTAAACAAATATATACCTCCATTAAGATGTGCAAGCCCTTATTTACCATCTGGTAAAGAAGAAATGACCATTGAATTAAAAAAACAAGAGTCACTCCTTGGTTATATACACCGCGAAATGAATGCTGGTTTTGTGTGTAAAACCAAAGAAGAAGAGTTATGGGATGTACAAAGAATTATTACACAATTGAAAAGAAAACTTAAGGTATTGGAAAAGGACAACCACAAAGTTTCAAAAGAAAAGGCGAAAACAGAAGACCAGATAAATGGAAAGTTTGAAGAAATTGGAACTCAGACAGCACTAAACAGAAAAAACTCTAATAACAGTGTATCGGGCAAAGCTGAAGTAGTGTCCATAACAAGTGATACTGTTAACATATCAAACTGTGAGAGTTCATTAGTTGATGAAGAGATACAGACAACTACTTCGGGTAATAAAGAGAATTTACTATCAAGTTTATATTTTTAATCTGTAGTAAATCTTTGTCGTAATCTAAAGACTTAACTTTTAGATAGTGATAATGAAGAATTAGTCTTACAGTATGAATCTGAAGAATTAATGTCACTCATTGCAAACTTAAAAGATTGTATAGTTCAGGAAAAATGTGAAATAGAACGATTACATACAAAGTTGGCATCAGTTGGAAAAATTGTCAATGCTAGGTATTTATATTTAATAAATATTTGGCATGTATTCGGTTTTTAGCATAGTGCTAAATGCCCAAAAAAAATACCTCAATATGTATAGTATTGAATTAGATATTCTAATATATTAGATCTAGACTTTTATGGATTTATTTAATAATATTTATTGTTTTTATAGAGAATATTTTATGAACCCAATTGATGAAACAGCAATGGCTAACGATGCTTTATTAAGTGAATATAAAATGCTGCAAGTAAGGATATATATTTTGAATGTTATTAAATAATTTACTAATGTGCCTAATTTAAAGTTCCAGAAAATGAATTTATTTAAAAGTATAGAAGAAGAACGAGAGGCCATACTTGATTTAAAAATACAAATAAAACTAGCAAAACGTAAACATATTTCAGTCATGTAAAATGCGTTATTTGAATGTCAAAGCATATTTTTAGTTTAACATGTTAGTTTATACCCAAGTATGACAATTTTTTTTATACAATGACTATAACTTTTGACTGTCAACTGTTTTAACAGGTTAAAATTGTTTTTATTATAATTATTATGTATGTTATTTATTTTATTTTAAGAATGTACAATTTTTTCTTTATAACTACACACATTTATTTTTTTTACAACGTATTAGTTTATAGACAAATTATTTGCTTATTTTTTTTAAATAACTAATATTAATTACTTGAAAGTATGAATTACAGTCAAGTAAATTTGTTTTTTGTTTTTGTTTAGTTATTATAATATATTTTATTCAAACGATAATTACAAAAGTCGTCACTGATGGCCAGTTAAAAATATAAACATTTAATCAAACTGTGAGTTAACTTTTGAAAACCAAAAAAATAATGTACAAATTCCATAATTTCTATCAAGGTATTAAAATATTTAATGCGTCACATGAAGATACATACTATGTATGGAACCAATTATGAATTATACATCATAATATAATGAACCAGAATATTGAATGGTATATTATATGGCTTTATTAGATTTATTATTTTATAACTGTTAACAATTAAACATTATAAAGTATTAACAAATATTTATGTTGTTCTATTTGGCCAAAACCCAAGCTAATATTATATACCTACATAGTAGGTTAATTTTTTTTTTTTTGATAAGATTTGATTTATAAAAATAATCTAAAAATTCTAATTCATTTAGATGAACTAGTTAGCTAGTATCTGTATTTTAAATATTATTCTTTTAATCTTCAAGAAAAAAAGATAAGATCTAGAAATAATTATTAATAACAAGCATAATGATTAATTATAATACAATTTATAGTATCAGAGAGAAAACAATTTTGACCATGTGGCATGTTGATGTAAATGATTGGAAAAATGCATTGCAATTTCTAGTTATAAGGTAGGGTCACTGCTGACATAATATTATATAAAATTCATGACACTATTTTAGTCTGGAAGTGCTAGGAAGAAACTATTTACACTACTAGAAATTTTAATTTTTCAAAATCAGTTATTTTTAATTAAGTAGTTTCTATTCCCATGATGTATGTTTTATACTTTCAAATTTCAAATTTATTTATTAACCTACACGGCTACGTCATATATTTCATAATATGCACAAGTATTTGTTTTTACTTTTAACACAACGTTTTGTAAAGATAATTTTTTTTAGGCTTTACAATCTATTTAGGCTTTTAGTTGCTGAGAGGAAGGCTTTC